AGTAAAGTGAACGGCTACTCCTTCCGCTTTCGCTCGTGGCCATGGACGTCCGTGCGAATGATACGGCCTGACGTGTGAGGTGTTGTGTTGAAGAATGTTAGAGAGGGGTTTCTACAGAGAACGGCTACTCCTCCCGCTTTCGCTCTAAGTGTGGCTGCTGCAAGTGTGTGGAATTTCTGCAATGACCAGTACGGGTGAGTATCTGCTAGTCTGGTGTCAGTTAGAACTACGATGTCTGCTGCGTCTTTTAACAATTCTGTGACTCTGTCCTGCTTCACGCCGTCTCCTAGACCATTGACGTTGAGACCGGCGACTGTGAGGAGGTTTTTCTTGTTAATCATTTAACCACTGACTTGCAGCCCCTTGACATCCACATGCCGATAAAAACGATGGTATAGACAACACTAACTACCGAACAACATCGTGCCGCAGTTGCGAGGGTGGAGCTCAGATGCCGAAGTCTTTCTTGAAGACTGCAAGGTTGATCTTTTCGAGGGAGCTCTTTGTCGCCATGCCTGTCTTCTCCAGATTGGTGAGGTGAGCAGCAGAGATAATGTGATCGGAGGCTGACATGAAGCATTTGCCATGGGCTTTCTTGCAACCAGCTTGAGTACATAACCACTCCTCCCTGTTGCTCCCCGTAGAGATCAAAGCCAGAGCAGGATCTTGCAGGAGGGGGAGGATCAGCGGTGAGGCCGGTAGAGAGGCAGCTGCGAGAGTCAAGCGAAATGTTAGTGGATGATAAGGAAAAAGAAAGCGGGAGCGGGTTAGTAGGAAACCAGATCTGTGATCTATTACCGTTGAGTCTGTGAGCTTTTCCCAGGGTCAGGTTCCATTTCCCTACGTTAGTTTGGCGTTCAGTGACATAAGCATTATGATACTTATCATAGTGCTGACCGCCACAGAGAGCATATGTTAGCGAAGGGCAACAGACCATGAACATGTTCGCGTTGTCGGCGGGGTCAGCGATCGCGTCCAGCCAGCGGTGCTTATCACCAAGGTGTTCGTACACCAGACCCTTGACAATGTCCGTGTCCGCGCCAGTAATAGGGTGCAGCACGCGATGGAAGTTGGAGCTGCGCAGGAAAGCCGGCAGCTTGCGACTGGTAAGCGGGTACGTAGACATCCTTCGCGTGATCATATCGAGCTCCACGGTAGCCGCTACACCTTTGATGATTACTTCGAGAGCTTCTATATGAAAGGCTTTCTCCCTTGAAAATGCAGCATCTTCCGTGTGCTGCCAGTGCAAAGTCACGAGGTCTCCTTTCAGCCGTTCATACACCACATCTTTGCGTTTCACCACCTCTGCATCTGATTCCAGGACGAAGGAAACTTGAAGCCTGCAGAAGCGCTCCTTGGCGAAGTAAGCAGCCGGTAACTCTTGGAACTTAGTCGATGTCTTTGATGCTTCTGCGGAAAGTTCTGCATTCCACCCGCGTTTGATCAGCATACGAACAGCGAGAATAATGGCTGAAATTTCCTTGTTCAGAGCAAACGGAATGAGCGGGATAATGGCGGTTCGGAGACGACACTCTGCCTCTAGGGCCAGATCCATCTCCATTTCATCATCAGAGTCCTCAATGAAGCCATCATCATCGACCATGGGAGCCTTGTCAGCGGCCGGTGAGTCTTCAATAGCAGCTTTGCCGTTGACAGCGTTGTCAATAGCCTTGTCAGCGACCGATAATCCTGATCCACCAGCAACAGGCTGGCCACTAACTGCGACATTGGAGGTGTTGTTGCTCTCCTTGCTCGGCGTCATTGCAGGATTGTCCGGCGCAGTGGTGACACCATTTGTCAACCAGAGGGACCATGGGAGGATCACTGGTGACTTTGGAGCGCGATCCCTTAGGCGGAGCCATAGTGTGATGATGAGGAAAAGGCAGCTCAGCCGCACGCTGAGTGTAAGAAGAAGCACCGTTAAATAGCCAGGCGATCCTGTCTGGGACCTTGCATTCCTGGAGATGATGTTGCAATCTCGACGAGAAGACCTTGGGAGCGTATTTTGAAATAGGCTTGATCTAATCCGAGCATGTTGTAGGTTGCTTAGACAACGAAGAAATCTGCTTGCGAGCATGACGATCAGATCCCAAGATAGCCTAACAAACACCAGAAATTGACGCCTTGTAACCAGTGAAGCCGCGATCAGCATAAATGATGGGTCTTCCTGTGAGTGAGTTAGAGACGAAACGAATGGTAAAAACAGATGTTCGGAAAGAGGCTCCTAGCGAGGACATTGTGTTGAGGCTAAGCCCTGCACGCGCCTGGTTTCGCATGTAGCAACCTTATGCGGAGTAGCGAAACTTCGCATACCGCATACCGGTTTTACCTGTATTGCGGTATTCGCCAAGTACACTCCAATCTGTGCACTTCGGTATGCACATTTGGACATTGGACCAGGGAAGTGACGACATTGCACAAACGTGTATGTGCAACTGTCAGTGTTGCAAGAACCTGCGCAACTACTCGTGGGCAGGTAGAAATACATCCTATGGTGTTTTCACCTGCTGGTATTTTCACCTGGCGGTCCCAACCTGGAACCGCATACTAGAGTAGGTGCTTGCACGTTCTTCTTGAACAACATTCTTCATGAACAACGTTCTCGTAGAACGTTCTTGCACACGTCACTATGCTCTCTATAATGTTTATGTTGTTTCTCTTGTAATTTATCAATTAATCAATTTCATTCCTTCAGTTACTGCATACCAACCTTGGCATCAGTATTCGGCTTCCACAAGTCCGTATTCACTTTACAAGCATCCGCTTTGCAACTCTGCGCCTAGGCTCTCCCACAATCGCATATTCTCCACACATTGACCGAGTCAAAGAAGCAGAAATGCATGGCGGCCAGCCTGTCATTGTCATTGCCAGTTGTGATCTACCCCTTCTTGGAGGCTCACAAAATTTCAGTTGTGTCATTGCAAAGCATCTAGTGCAGCGGACCAACATGGTGTGGTTTAGAATGTGCAGCGGGAGGCTTTCACAAATGTTATCAAATTCATGGGCATAATGGGTTCATGAAACGTTCACGGTTTTTCACGGCGATCGCACGATCGATCGAGAGAGGGGACGCACCCTTAGGACGCGTCACCTATGTTCAATCCTGGCCCGATCGGGGGTTTTCACCGAGTCAACATACTGATCACACGATTGGCAGACGTGTAGTCTGCCAACCTGAAAATATGCATCACTCAGGGGGTGTTACATTGGGCGCTGGTCCATTTACACGGAAATGGACCAGCGAAAGCGAGAGAGTACCAGTTTACCGGGACCACTTGCAAAAGTGGTCCGGGCCTGGTACCCGCATGGTACCGGGGACGATTTGTAGCGGACCCAAACAGCACAGTGCTTAACATTTCGCAAATGCAAGGTGAACGAAAACCTTGTCGCACCCTGTCACACCTGAAACAAATTTCGCATGTGAATTTGGAAGGTTGTTGTAGCGAAAAAGGGCGACATGAAGTTTTCGCGAGTGCCTGGGCCGCGAATTGGTGTGGACTGTTGGAAGTGGTCTCCCACACCCTGTACGTGCGCCGACCACTGTACCACTGTGCGCCGACCACTGTACGCTGTGGGTGGTGCAACCTAGGTCACCACCTGGGCCGTTTGCTGGGCCAAACAGTTGGTCCATGTTGGTCCGCGCTGGTCCGCGCGGATGTCCCTGGGCCGAGCTTAGTTCTTGCGCACATGTAACAACCCCTCAAGTCCGACCGAGCCCAGGGTACAAGAGATCATTTGCCGTGCGTTTTGTTGCAGCATTTGTGTGTTTCGCGTAGTGTCACAAGTCGGTGTGTTTACAGAGGCACATCGATCGCCAAAATCGTCGTGGACAGGTTCATGACGTCATGTTAGTGTAGACTCTCCACCCTCGAAGAAGTCTGGTAACAAGGTGAATTACGACACTGAGTTGTTTAGTCCCCTCGCCAGATAAATTTTAGATAGTCAGGATTGAATATAGGTGACGCGTCCTTAGGTTTCAGGAACATGTGTAGTGATACACCCTGTTTCTCGCCGTAGTAGGTTTAGGTGTGGTGGATTCCGGAGTGGAAAATCAGGGTTGAAGGTGGTTAGATTATGTTTCGGTATGGTTCAATTAGGCAATTTGAACAAGACAAGGTCAGCCAGCCAGTTCTGTACACTTCAGTACAGCGAGAAACAGGATGTAATCCTCAGACACTATGGCTGCCTGTTGCGCCTGAACCTACACGCCCAGTAGAGCGTTTCACACGTGGGCATGTGCTTTCCCATGTGCCCTACTGCCAATGCTGCCGTACATGTGCATGCTTTCCCATGTGCCCAACTGCCAATGCCGTCATACGTGTTGACTCAACAACGAAAGAAGACTGTGGGCTACAGTGTATGTAGGACCACATCGCAGTGCAGACTCAACGGGGCCCACCATCCATGATGGTGACGTTGCGGTCCTGCCAGGCAATCACAGGGTGCTTTCGAGAATGCTTAGAAACAGTCTGAGAGGCTTCACCGATAGTGACGCTTCGTTGCAACCCCGACAGGCAACCACGGATCCAGTCTCCGCCAGTTTCACGTCCCGGAACGTCTTTCCGGAAATACCCGTGCAGAACGGACTCCTCAGTGAGAATTAGCTTCCGAGTCGTTTGAGTATTCTAAAGCCTTCTATGGTGTCTGTCTCTGCCTCCGCCGAGGGCCATCTGCTCCCCGGCCTTCCCCATGACCTCGCGCTCGTCTGTATGTCGCGACTCGCGCTCTGGGACTTGCCCGCCGCTCGCTGCGTGTCGCGCGGCTGGGCGGCTGCGATCCGCAGCGCGTCGTTCGGTCGCCTGCGACGACGCGTTCGCGCGGAAGAAGGGGGAGGGAGGGGTGCGGGGCGAGGGGAGTGGTTGCGCCACCGTTGGGCGGAAGGGAGGGGGAAGGAGGTGGGGGAGGGGAAGGGAATGGGGAAGGCGTTGGGGGAAGACGAGGGGGAATTTCATTCACTGCCCAACAGTCTCTTGAGTGACTCGGAGAAACGTCTACCACCGATGTCATTGGGATCTCATCTCCCAGGCCCAGCGGGTGTGAAGGAGAGCCAGTGTGAGAGCCCAGGCGTGTCTGCACTGTTGGTGGCATGTGTGGGTGGCAGCGGTGGCGAGGGTTCAGGCAGCCAGCGACTGCAGTGGTTCGCCTGCTGCACCTGCGAAGCCTGCTACCCCAGCAGAACAGGCTACCCATGCGGCCCTTGCGACCATTCCGATCCCTGCCAACCCTGCGACGCGTGCTACCCATGCCAACCCTGCGGCAGGTACGGGTCGTCGCCGGACCTCAGTGGATTCTGCACGCCCAACGCATTCCCCAGGTGGCGCCGCCTGCCCCCGCTTCCCCCCACCAACCCCCACTCCGACCCAGCCTGTTACGGCGCCGTCGCCGCTGCGGTTCCCGGAACCGGGATTGCGATCGTGGGCGGCGCGCTGCCTTCCCAGTCAGGCAGGCCGCAGCACGTGCGCCACGTGTCAGTGTTTGACTGGCACATGGGCGCGTGGTTTGATGTGCAGCAGCCGTGCATGCTGCCCAGGTTGGACCCGGTGGTGGCTGCAATCGGTGCAATGGGTGCAATGGGTGGGGGGGAAAGGGATTGCCTCGTGGTTGTCGGAGGGTGTGCTGTGCCGTCTTTCCCGCGTGCGAGCACTGCTGGTTCATGTGGTAGAGTTGCTGTTTGCGCTTCAGAAACAGGGGTAGCTGAGAAACAACATCCTGTTTGTTCACGTTCTGGGGCTTCTCCTAACTTGCCACGTGGCAGTGGCAAGGCTTCTCCCAGCAACCACTCACGCCACCCATTCCTGGGAATGTGCACGATGTGCATTGACATGCCGATGGACGGATTCGGTGCCGACGAATGTGACAGCGACAAGGGCAGATGCGGTTCTAGTAACAAGAGCACCAGCAACAACAGTCGTGGTAGCACGAGCGACTTGCTGAGTGGGTGTGCCTTGACCCAAGGCGGCGGCAGCAGCAGCAGCGGCACGCAGCAATACTACCAGTTCCCAAGGCTCGACTCGCTTGTGCTTGGAGGGCGGGTGTTTGTGCGACGTCACATCTCGCGGCCCTGCTTTGGCCTCAACCCGGTCATTCCCCACGCACCCAGACCAGCTCCACCTGATTACACTGCCCATGGCCCTGGTAACCGGTTTACAGGCACTGGCGGCAGTAATTCTGGCAGTGGTAATGGCAGTGGGATCAACAGCAGCGGCAGCTACAGCAGTAGCAGCATGGTGTCAGAGGCAGGTGTGTTGGAGGTTGACTGGGGGAGCCCTGTGATGTGGAGGGTGGTGGAGGAGTCTGACGCCATCCATGCCATCTGGACCAGACAACACATAGCACAAGTGATTGTAGCGGATGTGACTGGAACAGGTGATGTGACTGTACCAGGTGTGACTGGGTCGGATGTGACTGCAACGCCAGCAGCAGCAGAAGACTCAACGGAACCACGCAGCAGCACAGCGTGCCAGGCGTCACTGTTTGCGATGCTTCCACCACCACCAGGCGCCCTCAGCAGCACGGCAGCTGTGCATCCCACACATCCCACACATGCCACACATGCCACACATGCCGCATCCGCCACCTACTCCGTGCTCTGCTCCCTCGACCCCTCCCTCTCTCTCCTCGTCTTCAACCACCTGCAGCAAAGATGGGTCCCTGCTGGCCCTCGCCTTTCCTCTCCCTCCCCTCCTTGTCCTCCTCTTCCTCGCCCGTCCCCTCACGTCCTCTACCCCTGTGGCAGGGGCTCGCATGGGGGATATTGTTCCACTCCACCCTACCCACCCACGCCACCCTACCCACTCGTGCCACCCTTCTCGACCGTGCCCCCCTGCACACCCACTGCACCGTTCAGCTCGCATGCTCCTACACTCACCTCACGCCTTCCGAGCTGTGGCAGCAGTGGTGCACCTTCCAGTCTCGTTGCTGGTTCCAATGCTGCTGCTGCTACCTCTGCCTCTGCTGCTGCTACTGCCAGTTCTGCCAGTGCTGCCATTTCTGCCAGTTCTGCCAGTACTGCCAATTTGGGAAGGCTGCGGCAGCTTGTGGGGTGTGGCAGCCGTCTCATGGCTCTCTTCCAGCCACACGACACGCACAACCCGCACGACCCAGGAGTGATGCGAGAAATCCTCCTCCCTGACCTCCACGCTCTCTCCTCTCTCTCCGCCCTGCTCCCTCACACCTCCTCGTCCTTCCCTCACCTCCCCTCCTCGCTCCCCTCTCTTCAGCCTTCTCTCTTCGCCCTTTCACAGCCACCCCCCACTGTTGGGCCCGCACCACCGCAGGCACAAGCTTCAGAAAGTGTGTCGGTAGCAGCAGCGGGAGGGTTGATGCGGCTGGTAAGTAGTGGTAACGTGGAGAGCCGAATTGGCTGGGCAATTGGGGCTCCAGTGGCCTTGCCTGGGAATGGAAGGTTGCATCATGTGCTTTCCGTTGCCATTTAGTGGAATGTTTAGGATTTGGCTATTGTAAGGGATTTTCTTGACATTCCTTACCGCGACCATCAACATCGCGTACAGCAGCAGCCGTTGTTCACTCGTTACTGCTAACAGGGCTTCGCCAACTTCGCGCGCACTGTTCACCAAACCTTGCACTGCTGGCCTAGCCGAGTCTGTCAGAGGTTCACTGATCCTCGATTGATCATAGGGAAGGGTAACAGGCTCGTTGTCCTGGGAGGTTATGGGACCCGCTACTTAACAAGCCCTTTTACCCCAATGATCTAGTGGTTGGGATTCTGACAGGGTCGGCCTACGCTTCGGGACTAGCCCAAACCTCCATGCCAGCGTAGCACTAGCTAGCTCGCACGCACCGCGTAATCATTGCATGTTTTCGCACATAAGTATTCGCTCATGCCTTCGCTCATACTTTGTACTCTTTTGACACTCTAGTGCAATCCTCGCTACTTCGTTCCATTGCACCCGTAACACTTGGTTACCAGAGCCACTTTCCTTTTGGGCCGAGCATCTCCGCACCCCAGGAAATCAACTTGTGATTTTTGCTCTAAGGGACTCAAGCCCCTTATCACCTAGGCGCCGCTGGCCTCGCGTTCTCTCGTAAACGTGTGCAGCCACGACTGCACCTAGACTAAGCTGAGCCGACGCCCTTCGACATGGCTGAGCACATTGACGTCACGAGTCTCACGCAGGAGCGTCTGAACGAACTGCTGCAGCAACTCCGCGAAAGTTCTGAAGTAATCGCAGCACTGACGGCAGAACGCACATCCCTGCAAAATGACGTCGCACGAGCACAATCGCAAGCACAAGGCACACCGGCCCGCACAACAAGCATCACAACACGGAAGTGTGGGGCAACCCGCGAGCGCGGCTCGTGATGGCGTCGTCCACAACGACGGAGACGACGACCACGGCGCGACACACCCCGAAGTGACGAATGCGGCCAGAAGCCAACCCCGTGTCACGATTTCGGTGCCGACCGGCGAGTCAACAATGCAGTCGCCAATGCCGCTGAAGCCGCAGCGTCCGCGATGCTTTGACCCGAGTCAACGGGGTGGTCCTACCGTTCAGGCGTGGTTATTCACCATGAACATGTTTTTCGACGCGAATTACGTCTCGAAGGATACCGCGAAGATCCGCTACGCCGTGTCGCTGCTCCGAGGACCCGCCATGGATTGGTGGCGTGTCATCGTCACGAAGCCGACGGACTACGCGACTCTACTGACTCGGGAAGGACAAACCGGACCCTGGGCGCCGTCATTTATCGTGGAGGTGCCCCAATATCGCACGTGGGACGTGTGGTGCGCATGTCTACGCGCTCGATTTGAGCCAATTGCGGCTTCGATCGCGGCGCGTCAGAAGCTCCGCACTTGTCGCCAACTCGGTTCCGTCCAGGATTACACCAGCGGGTTTCTGGCGCTGTGTGAGTAGGTGGGATACATGGACGAGAGCGAGCGCATCGACCGCTACATCGGCGGCCTGAAGCACGAAATCGCTCAGGAAATCCAGCTCCGCGGCGTCACCGACTTTAAGGAGATTCTCGCTATGGCGGAGAAACTCAACTTTTTCCGCCGACCGAGACCAGGGTCCTACGAAAGAAGTAGCAACTGGGGACATCAGTCTCGTGGGACGAACGAAGGCGCCACGATACGAGCTGTCGTCGCGAATGTCGCTGCCGCACCATTTAAAGGGCGCTGCTTCGCGTGCAATCGGCCGGGACACCGCAAAAGCGAATGCCTGGAAAACGCTAAGGGAAAGGGGGAAGCTGAGCAGCAGAAACAGACCAAGCAGCTGGGAAATGCTGGGAGTCAGTAGCAGACGGGCCCTCTACTGACAGGTCACGCCGCTCGCCCGACCCAACCGACCCTAACCGAGTGATTGTGCCGGTTCACGCAATCGACCACACCCGGCCGAATAAGGAGGGTACCACGGTAGATAGCTTCATACTGCTTAGTGGGAAAATCGGGACAAACTTAGTTAAAATATTCGTAGATGCGGGGGCCAGCCACAGCCTCATCAACACTGCCACAGCACGGAAACTGAAACTGCCACTGGACATGTGTTTATCAGAGATTGACGCAAGACTGGTCGACGGCACGCCACTGGCGATACGGGAACGCATGGACCGAGTTCGGATTCGATGCGGGGGTAACTTCACGTTTAGCCAGGAAATGCTCGCATCGACCCTCGACGGAACCGACATTTTACTCGGCCGTGATTGGCTGCGACGACACAACCCGCGAATCGATTGGACGACAGGTGACTGCATTATGCGATTGAACGGTAACAACATCGCCTTACCTCGCTGGGGCTCGCCTGAGTCTTCGTCGGTGCGTGTCAACGCAATCACCATGAAACGTGTTTTAGCGGCAGGAGCAGACATGTACGCGGTTGACATTCGGCAAGCCGGGGCAGCAGACAAGGGAAGCGATTTAGGGAAACTGCTAGCCGACGTACCGGATGACCTGGCGAGACTACTAAAGAAGTACAGTGGGATTTTTCCGGACGATCTGCCGACAGGACTGCCACCTCAGCGACCGCACGACCACAGGATAGAACTAGAATCGGGGGCACAACCGACAGTACAGCGACAGTTCCGACTGACCCAACCCGAACTGGACGAACTACGGAAGCAGCTGGATTACCTGCTCGAAAAAGAGTTTATTCGCCCGAGTTCGTCACCATTCGCAGCACCGATACTGTTCACGCCGAAGAAAGACGGGGGATTTCGCATGAACATAGATTACCGCGCACTGAACCAAGTTACCATCAAGTCCCGTTACCCCATCCCGCGAGCCAACGAACTGATCGACCAACTGCGCACAGCCCGGGTTTTCTTGAAAATCGACCTTCGAGGAGGCTACCACCAAATCCGTGTCAACCCGCTCGACTGCCCGAAAACCGCCTTCCGTGTCAGAATCATGAACGAGAATGATTGGATTGAACAGAAGTTGGGTACAAGTACTAACCCTAATTGGGTTGTACCCCTCATGGGCTACCCCACTACAGCCTACACAAAGTAAGCAATATAACATTCTGACACACCCCCATAGGCAAAGTGGGGGAGAACAAGTGGTCACAAGACCAGTCAAGAAAAGCAAAGAAAGCTCAGGGTGGATCACAAAGTCACCACACAGTCCGAGCACAAGCAAAGGGCCACAAGGCAAGTTCAGATGCAGTGTTCTATATAAAGAGCACAAAAAGTACAGTGATCATAGCATAGCAAGAGTAAGCATGCAGGTATATATAGATCACAGTACAAGCAAAGTCACGCAGTGAGCAAGTAAGGCAAAGTAGGCACAATGCCTAAAATAGTAGAGAAGCGCTGATGATCACCAGACTGAAGTGCCTTGGTGAATATATCAGCAGTGTTGGC